ACTTAAGCAGAGATATGATGAAGTAATTTTCTGGATTGCAGATTCTGTGTTCTGCCATCCAGAACTTGGTTGCTTTTTTGAGACATTTCATTACCCAACTAGGAAACATCATCAGTCCTACAAAAACAACCAAGATCAGAGAGCAGCAAGGACCCCAAAGTTCAACCCTTAGCTATAAATTTTCCATTGATTCTGTGTTCTGTAGGAAGCTGGACATGATAAGCTTCTAGCTCCCTTCTCATTCTGATGCTAGAATTCTTTAGAAAAAATATTACGGATTTATGGTAGATAAACTTCCTGAAAGACAGATTGCTGTTACAGTCTGCCAGCCTCATGAAATATTAAAAGTATATTTTTAGTTGATGCAAATGCAGCACAGTATCTCTCTGGGTCTGGCCAGTCCTAAGCATTTGGAATAAAATGCTTCCCAGAATCTTTTGCCACCTTGAAAACAAATGGTTGTAAAATTGAGATCTCTAAAATTAAAACAGTTTGGAAAACATTTCCATATTATGTTGGTTGTTAATATGCTTCACATGGGACTAGCTGTGAGAAAGTGTTCTGTCCCTCTGCCAGCTGCTGATAGAATCCCTAGTGGAGATTCTCTCCGCTACTGCTGAGCTGTTCCTTTATTGGAAAGTAGATAATAGTACACACATTTTGTGCACTGAATGCCTCGGTCTCATTCTCTATCTTTGTCTTCTCCAGAGATGGGGAAGAGTCTTATCAATGACCCTGGAGAATTGTTGTCAGTATGCAGAAAACACTTTCTGAATGCATAATCTGTCTGATTCCATATAAGGCAGTTTTCTGTATTCATATGATGTGATAATGTAATTGTAAGTGGCTTCTTTACATTTTTAAAGTCTGCTGGTTGAAGGTGATACTGACTGGTGATACTGACTGACCACTGTCTACAGGCTTCTGAAAACTACTTGAAAAGAGCAGTAATCTGAAAGTGTGTATTCAGCAAAGGAAAAAAGTAATAAACCTAAGGAAATGGACATTAGAAGGGACTTCTAATGTATAGAAAAAGGAATACGAGTGCAAGCATCAAGGAAGTGTGTGTACCTGCAGGTAGCTAATATGCCAAAAGAAAGTTAGGAAGGCTAAAATACAAAAGACTCTTAGGCTAACAAAGGAAGTCAATAACAACACAACTAGTATTTTTTTTGGGCTATCTCAGAAAGAAAAGGAGGAAAAAGAAAGGGTGGACTGTTTGCAAAGAGAAGATAATAAGCTAGTAACAGATTTTATTCATCTGTCTGTCTGCCTGCCTATTTATTGTATCTACGTGTCTGTCTGTCTGTCTGTGTCTTTCTATCTGGCCACCCACTCAGTCTCAGTGACTCTTGGCAGCTAATAAACAATAAAAAACCCAATGTAAAAGAATAAAAAACAGTAATTTCCCTTTCCCCCTGCTGGTGACAACACACAATCAAATGGGTTCATTCTACTCTGGGTTCCTAGGTTCATTGGCAGAACCAGGTCTTCAGTGCCTTGCAAAAGAGGGTCAAAGTGGGGGCTAGTCTAATCTGTGTGGGGATGGTGTTCCAAAGGGAGAGAGCCACCACAGAGAAGGCTCTTCTCAGTCCCGTCAGATGTATCTCTTTAGGAGATGGGATCTGCAACATTCTTTCCCTCCTCGCTCTAGTACAGGGGTGTCAAACTTGCAACATCAATGACGTGTCGCAACGCATCGTGACTTTTTTCCCATTGCTGGCAACGGGTGGGTGCGGTTTTGCCATGACGCATCTGGCCCATGTGCCGGCAGTTTGGTACCCCTGTTCTAGTCGGTCAGGTGGATAATTGGGGAAAGCACAGAAAGTAGAGTTTCTCAAACTCTATTTTTCTTCCACCTTCTTCATGATGGGAAACTGTACTAATGGACTGAGGTAGTTTGCTAAGGCTGGATAGTGTCGAAATAATAGGAGACAAGGAAACTGTACAGTTACTCAGCTTCTACTTTGCTTCAGTCCTCAGTCTAGCAAACATTTGATAAAAGCAGAGAGTGGTATGTAAAAAGAGAGGTAGAAAGCACCCGGTTACCATGAATGAGTAAAGTCCAGTTACATCCAGAACTGTTGAAAGAGCTCTCTCTCTCTCTCTCTCTCTCTCTCTCTCTCTCTCTCTCTCTTCATGCTTTTTCAAGTGCCATTTGCTGAAAAGCTCTGCTAGCCTAAAATGAAACTTCCTGTTATTGCAAAGTGTTTTGGGATTTGTTTTAAGGAATGCAACCAGTTTATAAGAATATTGCTTTAGCCTTCACTATTGAACTGAGAAAGCACTCTAGAACACATGTAATGCTGTCCTCCAGATCTTTGTTGTGAGAGAAGGTTACAGAACAAGTTATTTTTCAGGGAAGCTTACAGTTAAGTTTTAATTGATGAATTCTTAGTATTCAGAGTATTTCTGGGATTTTCTGGATCATGAAAATCCCTGCAATCAGCTCTTTTGAAGCTTTTCTGAAGTTAAATATTCTACCATTCCTTGTATCCCATAGATTTAGAACGTCAGTTCTGTTTATAGAAAAGCAAGTCCATTATGCATGGCTATTTTCTTGCACTCTTGTCATAAGTTTGTATGCATATTAAACAGTTGCTATTAATTTGTCCATAATTTTGAATGCTATTTAGTATCTTTGTGATGAAGGTATCCTCTTGTGCCCTTATCATTAAGCTGCTCTTTCTTAATCTTCAAAGGGATATTGAAAAAGCTGTTTTGGCCAAGTTCCAATCACTGAAGGACTGGCAGAAGAGATTAACCTGCAGTAGAATGTACAAAGCAGAGAATTTAGATGTCTAGCACTGTTTACTCAATACTGTATGAATGTTAACTTATAAAACTTAACGTATTATTGGAATGAACATCTGGTTGAATACTGTAAGGCACAATTTGCTTCTGTAAAGAATAAGTTCACATATTATTACTGTTCCCTTCACAGCGCCTGTGTATGTGTTATATTGAAAGCTCTTCATGCAACAAGTTGAAGTCAGTGTAATTGAAGTGTTAATTATTCATGATTCAATCATGATTAAAATGTTTAAAAAATAGTTTGATTAGCAGCTCTAAATTTAAGATTCAGGTGTCAATGGAATATTCTAATGGTCATTTGCAAATGAAGTTGGAATTGTGAGTTCTTTTAGTTAGAATCTATAGAGAGAATTTCTGAAAGAAGAGCACAGAACTTGAGCAATCTTGCTCATCTGGAGAGAACTCTTGGTCAAATGATTGTGAATGGGTGATCATAGCTCTTTTGAGACATGAATTAATAGAGATAGATTGCATCTTGATTAATATGACTGCATAGTTTATACACTTTTAAACTTGTTAATATTGTTTCCACACACTTTTTCATTAAGCTCTGACAAGAGAGCCAATTTGCTGAAGCAGGCATCAGGCTAGAAACTGGGAGACAGTGGGTTCAAATGTTACCTTAGGCATAAGGGAAGTTGGGTGACTTGGGGCAGTCATTTTGTCTCAGCTCTAGAAAGCAGGTATGATAACCCATATCTGAAAACTTGCCAAGAAAAATGCAGGGACTTGTCCAGGCAGTTGCCAGGAGTCAACACTGATTTGAAGGCATCTCAAAGAGTCTCTCGTGTGACTGTCTTCAAGGTAAATGCTAAATGAACAAAGGTTTTGTTTTGGAGCATTTGATCTGTATGTAAGGTGTGTGTGTGTGTGTGTGTGTGTGTATTTTGCTTTTTGCAGGGGAGAGAAGAAATTTATTGGTAGAAGATTCATAACTGTATTTAATTGTAGCAATAGGAGAACTTACTGGCAACTTCCTACTTGTGGCTGCTATTAATATGTTGTAAAATGATGTAGTTTTGCTGTAAGATTATTCTGGATGAAATATTGTAGCCTTTGTGGGGTTCCATCATGATGTAATTGTAGAGTATTTTGACTGGGTGCTGCACTTCCTTACAAATATTGTTACCTCCATATTATTTTCTCTGAACTCCATGCAGAGCATTGAGCCTCATCCTGATTATTTTCATCTGAACCCTATCCTGAATATTGAAGTTTTTGATGGCTCAACCTCACTTGGGACTTCAAAGAGTGGTAATTTTGTAAATACTTATTTGCCTCTGAAGTGTCCCAATCTTATATATTATGAGCTCAATTTATTTTGTTATTTTGCATAGTATTTTAATACATGTTGCTTTTCCTGAGATGTTTAAATCATAGTAACTTGTTTTAATGTCATGGGCTATAGCGAGTTGGAAATTGAATGTAAATAATTTTGTTAATGAGTGGATTCTTTAAAGGGGAGGGGGGAGTATTGAAAGATGAAAAGAACAGCAGAAGCTGGAAGACCAGGTCAGCGTCTCTTGTTCCTCTTCTTAGTTTATCTTTGCAAGCAAGTGAAATTTTATCTTAAAGGAGACAAATGTGTAGTAGATGCCTAATGTCTAAAATCTGCTTTTTTGTGGTTTAAGTCAAGAATCAAGATCAATCAATGCAAGAAATAGGAAACTGGCAGATTTGAAACTGGCAGTTTTTGTACATTGATATAATTTTTATTTAACTATAGTGTGCCAATGGAGAATGAAGAATGTTTCATTATTGAAGCACTCATAATGTGGAAACATTTTGGGTATGTATGATGGATATATTGAAAGATTTTTTGCAACATGATTTTTTAGCCTATTTTTCTATACTATCATATTTGTCTTTAATTTTTGCACGTCACCAAATGTTTCAATTCAGTTTTCAGCTGAATTGTCAAAAATGTACAAAATGCATATTATATAGCAAATATATACAAAACTGTACAATTCATATGTGTGCATAAGATCCATACATTACCACTGCATTTTAAATATGCAGGTTGATGAGGAAACAGATGGAATTGACAGATGATTAATACGAATAAACTGGCATGGATCACATAGAACAACATGGTGTCTCTAATCACAGTAAAATGTATCTTTTTGTTTTTATGTTTTTAGGAAGCACATTTTTCATATTCTTTCACCTTATTGTATTTATAGATTTCTGTTCTTCAGAGAAACTCAGGATGATTTTTCTGGGCTTGACTCATTTTATTCCTGCAATCAAATAGGATTGGGTTGACATCAGCTTGGTCTGGGTCACTTATGGACCATTGTGCTTGAGCAGGTAATCTCCAGTAGCCTTTAAAACTCCTGATGCACCCTAGGATAAAGCAATCATAATTCTGTAAACACTTCTTTTCTTGCTCCCTTTCTAATTCTTCTCTAAGTGATGGCGATGCCAGGTCTTCCCCACAACAAGGAAGAATGGGTGGAGGTGTCAAGGAACAGAGATCAGTCTGAAAATGCTGGGACTGCTTTATATATTGCCACACTTAAAGCTCTTTTGACTATTTGTGTTGCTTTACTGAGCAAGGATTTGGTTCTTAGGGATTTGGTCCTAAATCAATGGTCCTCACCATTTTGGGCTACATGGATCGCCTGTGGTATGCTGCATGGCAGAGAGAGGAAATGGGTTTGCACACTCAAGTCATCTCACACATGCACAAATGAAGCTTTGTGTGCTTACCTGCCTTTTCATGGCCCGAGTCTCAATGGGCTGCAGACCAGTACCAGTCCACAGCCAGGGGGTTGGGGACCCCTGCCCTAAATGACAACTGAGTTCAATTGCAGTGACATTGGATTTGAGAGTCAACATTTATATTTTTGAGGGGGATATTCTAGATTTTTTTCTCCTTTTGGTTCCAGGTCCTAGATACAATTAAAGGTGTCTAAGGATTATTTATTTCCAGATTTTAAGAAACTGTATAAAACAGAGCTAATTCTTGTTGAGAACTGTTTTCCTAAGTGAGTAATCTGTAGAAGTTGCTTCAACTATCATAGTGGACAGGATAGAAGCAATGGCACAGCCGAGCCCCATTTTGCTGCTGATTCTTTCTCCCTTCTTAATCTCTCTTTTGTCCTCCTCACTTTTTGGTTTCTTTTGCTAAAGGTATAAGCTGAATGCGGCAGTTATCTTTTGAGAGGTGACATGGTTTGACAGCTCCAGCTTTATAGATAGTGATATACCTTAATAAAATTTGCCATTCTAAGCCACAAGATGGAAGCAAAGTAAAGTGGCTTTAATCATAGGTTGTTTTCTGTCCCCAAATAACAAGATGTTATTATTTTTAATTTCTTTAAAAGGTTATTATTTCTTTATTTTTTATTATTCGTGTGTGGTGCTATTTTAATGTACTTAATACCATTAGCATGGTGTAACTGAAGAAGGAGATTTATTCAAACAGGGATTAGCCCATGGATACAATTTCAAGATGTCAGTTTTAGCATAAGATTGCTTCTCTTATCTAAAAAGCATCTTAATGACCTGCCTCTGGTGAGTTATTTCTAAAGCGTGGTTGATTTCTGTCCTCTTCCCAGTATTCTGTTGTCATTCTGATGTCCCATAGTTGGCCTGGTGATATTCCTTGTGTTGTATCAGGCAGGGCATGTTTTGCCTTTGGTGCACTTAACAACTAGATAATGTTGGGTCTTGGGCTGGGGTATGCTGAAGATGTCACTGTTGCAGTCACAAGGTGAAGGCAGGATAAACGAAGATGGTTGGTGTTATGTCCCGAGCCTTGCAAACGGCTCGGGCGTTTGCAGGTAGTCCCGGGCAGGTGCAAAGCTGCCCGGGACCAGACAGGCTGTCGCCAGCGCCGTGCGCATGCGCGGGTGCTGGCGCAGGAAAAGTAACCCATTTACCCGGGAGTTGCCTATATAAGAGGCTGCGAGGCGTTTGGGCGAGGCTGAAGCCATCTTCCTGTAAGCTGAACGCTGAATAAAAGAAACTGAGAACTCCAGCTGCTTCTCGTGTCTATTTTCCCGCCACGGACTCAACACTGGCGACGAGGATGGGATGCCTTGCACTACCTGGAAAGGAAAAAGTGTAAGCTTACCCAAGGAGTCCTGAGCGGCGGAAGAGGAACGGCGTCGACTCGGCAGCTGCCCGCCAATCCGGTGCGCATTCGGGGGTAGGCTGGCTGATAGACCCGTCTCCTGAAGATCCGAAGATGGCGAAAATCGGAAGGCTTTCGGAATTCGACGTCTCACATCCAGAGCGGTGGGAGTCCTACGTATCCAGAATGGAGAACTACTTCAAGGCAAACCAAGTGAGGGAAGATAGCTTGAAGGCGGCCACCCTGCTTTGCGTTTGCGGCCAAGACGCCTTCGAAATCGCAGAAAACCTTGCAGCACCTGTCCCAGTAGAGTCTGTAAGCTACGCAGACCTGAAGAAGCTGCTGAAGGAGCATTTCCATCCCAAGGTGTCCGTTATCTCATGGCGCCACACCTTCGAACAAAGGGATCAACGGTCCGGTGAGTCAGCCAAGAATACATCGCCGCGTTACGGAAGGCCGCCAAGCCCTGCGAGTTCAAGGACCTCGAGGAACGACTGAGGGACCGATTCGTGTGCGGGTTAAGGCATCGCGAGCTACAACAGAGACTTTTCGCAAGGGAAGAATTATCCTTCCAAGACGCCTTAAGGGAAGTCACCGCAGAAGAAGCAGCAGGCGGCGCCGTCAAGAACATGCGGCCGATCAGAAGCAGTGCAGAGGGTGCGTCCGTGCACCAGGAAGACGTCCAACGAAACTCCGAGGAGGATCCGGACGAGGAAGTCGACCGTCTACACCCCGCGAAGGAAGGAAACCAGAAGGGAAGCTCTTCGGCTCCGCTCAAGTGCATCGGCTGTGGAGGTCGCCACAGGAGAACCGACTGCAAGTTCCGCTCCGCTACCTGCCGGGCATGCGGCAAACTAGGGCACATTGCAGCTGTGTGTCTGGGCCGACGAAAGGCACAACCCCAAGAAGAACGCCTGAAGGGTACCAGAGTCCCCAGACAGAATAGGGTAGGTTTTTGCGCTTCGCGTAGAAACATTTGTAGGACAGGCACACACAAGCCCATGAAGAAAAAGCTGTCACTCAACGTGAAGCTACAAGGTGTTCCATTATCTATGGAACTAGACACAGGGTCTGCCCTTTCCATCATTTCATTGCATACATTTAGGAAGATTTGTTCCAGTAGTGGGACTAAGGCCAAGTTAAGGCCTTCTGATATTGTATTAACTGATTTTCAGTACTCAAGAGTGTGTGTTAAGGGGGAGGCCACCCTTAACGTGCAATACAAGAGTTTTGAAGGTCCACTAGACTTGTTAGTAGTAGGGGGTGAAAGAACGAGTCTCATAGGACTCGATTGGTTTGAGGCCCTGGGGATACACGTCACAGGACTCCACAGCTTACAAACACTCGACCTACAGGAAGTCTGCAAGAATTTGCAGATGTTTTCAGCCCCAGTGGGCACATTCAAAGATCACCTAGCGTCCTAAAGCTAGACCCACTTTCACTACCATTAGGATTAAAGCAAGAGGGTCCCCTTTTGCTTTAAACAAGTAAGATTGACACTGAACTAGACAAACTAATCCAACAGGGAATCCTAGAACCTGTTGATTCCAGCCCGTGGGAGACCCCCATTGTCACGCCTCTAAAGGCAAATGGGGACATTCGCATTTGTGCTGATTAAAAATGCACACTCAATAAGGCATTGCAGCAACATGCCTATCCTGTTCCTGTGGTCAGTCACATCCTGGCCTCTCTCAAGGGGGGGCGTGGTTTTGCAAAGCTTGACCTAGCTCAAGCATATCAACAGCTGCCTGTTGATGATGATGCTGCTATAGCTCAGACCATTGTGACCCACAGGGGAGCCTTTAAGGTAAAAAGGCTACAGTTTGGAGTGAATGTCGCTCCTGGGATTTCCAAAGCGTAATGGAAAACACACTACGAGGTATACCAGGGGTCTGCCCCTACTTTGACGATGTCTTGATTGCAGGAGACTCCACACACATTCTAGCTGAAAGGCTTAGAGCTGTCCTGTTAAGGTTCAGGAAATCAGGCCTCAAGCTCAGAAAAGACAAATGCAAGATTGGGGTGCCTTCTACTGAATTTCTGGGATTCAAAATCGATGCTGCTGGGATTCATCCTGCTGAATCCAAACTAACTGCTATTTTAGAAGCAACCAGGCCAAAGTCTAAGGCGAACTTACGGCATTCTAGGACTCCTGAATTATACAATTCTTTTCTTCCACATAAAGCTAGTGTAGCGGAGCTCTTCACAGGCTACTAGACAAACAAGCGGGCGGCTGTGGTCACAAGCCATGAGGCTGCGTAAAGAAGTCAAGGCCTTGCCGCAATTCTAACAGTTCTGGCACCAGTTCACACGAGTCTTTCCTTGTGGCATGCTTGTAGATGCGTCCCCTACGGTGTTGGAGCTGTCCTGAGTCACCTCAGGTCTGAGGGAACTCAGGTCCTATTGATACTACTCCGAACACTGTCTTCTGCGAGCGCAAAACAAAAAAAAAAAAAAAAAACAAAAAACTTAGCTCAGATAGACAGGGAGGCTCTGGCTGTTGTTGCTGGAATTAAAAAATTCCACGATTTTCTATATGGCAGGCATTTCACGGTCTTCACTGACCATAAGCCTCTGCTGGGACTGTTTACCACCCGTAAGCAGACTCCCCAAATCATTTCCCCTAGAATGCTTAGGTGGTCTATTTTTTTGTCTGCATATGATTTTTCTTTACTCCACAAGCCTGGGAAAGAAATGGGCCATGCTGATGGCCTCAGTAGATTGCCTCTGCAAGTAGTAGAAGCTGACCCTGCGCCAGCTGTCAACATTCTATCAATCCAAGCCTTGCCCGAGCTCCCTCTTAGTGCCAGGGATGTTGCCGCTGAATCAGGTACAGATCACACACTTTCACGTGTCCGTTCCTGGGTTTTGTCTGGTTGGCCCTAGTCCTGAGTTCAGAGTTTCTGGTCCAAAAGGAATGAGCTGTCCCTTTCTCAGGGTTGTCTGCTTTGGGGAAACAGAGTTGTCATTCCCACCTCAATGAGGACTAGGGTCTTAGAATCCCTCCACGAGGGTCATCCTGGCATTGTTCGTATGAAGGCTCTTGCGCGCAGCCACTTGTGGTGGCCTGGTTTAGATAAAGATATTGAGGCTAAGGTGCATGCATGCCACCTGTGCCAACGATCTCGCCCAGAGATGCCCCAAGCTCCCGTGCATAGATGGGAGGAAACACGGTCCCCATGGTCTAGGGTGCACGTTGACTACGCTGGGCCCTTTCAGGGCCAGTTCTTCTTGGTCCTTGTTGACAGCCATTCAAAATGGCTGGAGGTTGTACCTGTCTCATCCACCACCACTGCAAAGACTATTCAGGTACTGAGGGGGATTTTTGCTGCACACGGGCTGCCAGATGTCATTGTGTCCGACAACGGCCCTCAATTCACCTCCGCCGAATTCCAAGCTTTCTTACAGGCAAACCTGATTCGTCATGCCACGTCTGCGCCTTTTCACCCGTCCACCAACGGTATGGCTGAACGCATGGTGCGCATCGCAAAGGAAGCCTGAAGAGAATCCCTACGGGACTGGCATCACAGGTGCTGACTTTCTCCGTTCTGTCTTATCGAACCACACCATCCCCCCCCCCCCCCTTCTACGGAAAAGAATGTCCAGCTGAATCACTTCGTTGGGGGCGCCAACTTACTACTAGACCTTGACGTCGTTGCATCCGTACAGACTCCTCATCTACCTCACATCCTAGGGCAACCTGACAACTACGTGTGGGTGCCCCGGTTTGGGCTCGCAATTACGGGCCTGGTTATACATGGGTCCCCGCTTCTGTGTCCAGGATCACAGGTCCTCTATCCTACGAGGTTGCCCTGGACAACGGTCGTGTCCTACGTCGGCACATCGACCAACTTCGCTCTCGGCGAGACTTTTCTGCTGAGACTCCTGGGTCTTTTCCCGGGGGGGAGGGGGACTCTTTGGAGCAAAGGGAAGGGCAAGAGTTACTGCCCATCTCCACTGAGGGAGCCACAAACGGCCCATCCCAGGGTTCCGCAATTGCTCCGAAAAGAAAGTCATGGAGCTTACCCACACAACAGGCACT